TTTTTTCTATTTTTTTGTCCATTTTTACTTTTTTGTCGCATTTTTTCGCTTATTCTTTGTCATTTTTTCCATTTTTATTGCTTTTTTTTAGACCCTAAGCGCCTTTTTACTGTCGCGATTCTTTATTGCTATTTTCGTCACTATTTTGACGAATTTTTGAATTTTTGAATTCTCTTTAGACTTTTTTGTCGTGTCTTTTGTTTCCTTTTTTATCGCCTTTTTTGTCACCTTTTCTCTTGTTGTGTTTTTTGTAGCTTCTTTTTTTTGTTGCGTTTTTCATGTTGACTCTGTCGAATTTTTTTCGCTTTTAGTCTTTTTTGTTTATTTTTTTTTGTTGTCCTTTTCTCGCTTTTTTTGTTACCGTCTATTGTGGCATTTTTCACTTTTTTTTTGTTTTTTATCGCTGTTTTTGTTGTTTTTTTCTTGCAATTTTTTTTCTTTTTCTAGTGGTTCTTTTTGTTCCCTTTTTGACTTTTTTTGTCGCCTTCTCTCTTGTTGCGTTTTTTGTAACTTCTTTGTTGTATTTTTTATCCCTTTTAGTTTTTTTTTTGTTGTCCTCTCGCTTTTTTTGTTACCGTCTATTGTGGCTTTTTTCACCTTTTTTTTTAGGTTTTTTGTTGCTTTTTCTTCATATTTCTTTATGCCATTTTTCACTTCTCGTTTTTGTTTCTTGTCGCTGTTTCTTTGTTGTTGTTTTTTTTTTTTGTAATTTATTATCTTTTTCTAATCGTCATTTATATTCCCTTTTTTGCCTTTTTTTTGTCGCCTTTCATTGCTGATTATTTTGATACGTTTTTCTTGTCACTTTTATTGTCACCTTTCCCTTTTTTTATTATTTTTAGCTCTTTATAGTCTCCTTGATCGTGTTTTTGTCCCCTTTTCTTGTGACGTTTTTCCTTTTGTTTTGCTGCATTTTAATTTTGATGTATTTTTCTTATGATTTTTTTATCGCCTTTTATCGCTTTTTATATTACTTTTTCATTGCCCTTTTTGCACCTTTTTGATTTTCTTTGTTGGTTTTTGTCGCTTCCGTCATGAATTTTTTGTGATTTTTTTTGGACTTTTTTTATAATTTTTTTCTATTTTTTTGTCCATTTTTACTTTTTTGTCGCGTTTTTTCGCTTATTCTTTGTCATTTTTTCCGTTTTTATTGCTTTTTTTTTTGTTAGACCTTCAGCGCCCTTTTACTGTCGCGATTCTTTGTTGCTATTTTCATCACTATTTTGACGAATTTTTGAATTTTTGAATTCTCTTTAGACTTTTTTGTCGTGTCTTTTGTTTCCTTTTTTATCGCCTTTTTTGTCACCTTTTCTCTTGTTGTGTTTTTTGTAGCTTCTTTTTTTTGTTGCGTTTTTCATGTTGACTCTGTCGAATTTTTTTCGCTTTTAGTCTTTTTTGTTTATTTTTTTTTGTTGTCCTTTTCTCGCTTTTTTTGTTACCGTCTATTGTGGCATTTTTCACTTTTTTTTTGTTTTTTATCGCTGTTTTTGTTGTTTTTTTCTTGCAATTTTTTTTCTTTTTCTAGTGGTTCTTTCTGTTCCCTTTTTGACTTTTTTTGTCGCCTTCTCTCTTGTTGCGTTTTTTGTAACTTCTTTGTTGTATTTTTTATCCCTTTTAGTTTTTTTTTTGTTGTCCTCTCGCTTTTTTTGTTACCGTCTATTGTGGCTTTTTTCACCTTTTTTTTTAGGTTTTTTGTTGCTTTTTCTTCATATTTCTTTATGCCATTTTTCACTTCTCGTTTTTGTTTCTTGTCGCTGTTTCTTTGTTGTTGTTTTTTTTTTTGTAATTTATTATCTTTTTCTAATCGTCATTTATATTCCCTTTTTTGCCTTTTTTTTGTCGCCTTTCATTGCTGATTATTTTGATACGTTTTTCTTGTCACTTTTATTGTCACCTTTCCCTTTTTTTATTATTTTTAGCTCTTTATAGTCTCCTTGATCGTGTTTTTGTCCCCTTTTCTTGTGACGTTTTTCCTTTTGTTTTGCTGCATTTTAATTTTGATGTATTTTTCTTATGATTTTTTTATCGCCTTTTATCGCTTTTTATATTACTTTTTCATTGCCCTTTTTGCACCTTTTTGATTTTCTTTGTTGGTTTTTGTCGCTTCCGTCATGAATTTTTTGTGATTTTTTTTGGACTTTTTTTATAATTTTTTTCTATTTTTTTGTCCATTTTTACTTTTTTGTCGCGTTTTTTCGCTTATTCTTTGTCATTTTTTCCGTTTTTATTGCTTTTTTTTTTTGTTAGACCTTCAGCGCCCTTTTACTGTCGCGATTCTTTGTTGCTATTTTCATCACTATTTTGACGAATTTTTGAATTTTTGAATTCTCTTTAGACTTTTTTGTCGTGTCTTTTGTTTCCTTTTTTATCGCCTTTTTTGTCACCTTTTCTCTTGTTGTGTTTTTTGTAGCTTCTTTTTTTTTGTTGCGTTTTTCATGTTGACTCTATTTTTTTCGCTTTTAGTCTTTTTTGTTTGTTTTTTATTGTCCTTTTCTCGCTTTTTTTGTTACCGTCTATTGTGGCATTTTTCACTTTTTTTTTGTTTTTTGTCGCTGTTTTTGTTGTTTTTTTCTTGTAATTTTTTTTTTCTTTTTCTAGTGGTTGTTTTTGTTCCCTTTTTGCCTTTTTTTGTCGCCTTCTCTCTTGTTGCGTTTTTTGTAACTTCTTTGTTGTATTTTTTATCCCTTTTAGTTTTTTTTGTTGTCCTTCTCTCGCTTTTTTTGTTACCGTCTATTGTGGCTTTTTTCACCTTTTTTTTAGGTTTTTTTGTTGCTTTTTCTTCATATTTCTTTATGCCATTTTTCACTTCTCGTTTTTGTTTCTTGTCGCTGTTTTTTTGTTGTTGTTTTTTTTTTTGTAATTTATTATCTTTTTCTAATCGTCATTTGTATTCCCTTTTTTGCCTTTTTTTGTCGCCTTTCATTGCTGATTATTTTGATACGTTTTTCTTGTCACTTTTACTGTCACCTTTCCCTTTTTTTTTATTATTTTTAGCTCTTTGTAGTCTCCTTGATCGTGTTTTTGTCCCCTTTTTTGTGACGTTTTTCCTTTTGTTAAAGGAAATATTTTTTGATGTATTCTTCTTATGATTTGTTAGTCTTTTATCGCTTTTTATATTACTTTTTCATTGCCTTTTTCGCACCTTTTTGGAATTTCTTTGTTGGTTTTTGTCGTTTCCGTTATGAATTTTTTGTCATTGTCGTCTATCTTTTTATCCATTTTTACTTTGTTGTCGCGTTTTTTTCGCTTTTTCGAATTCTGTTTAGTCTTTTTTATCGTGTCTTTGATTCTCTTTTTTATCGCTTTGTTGCAGTTTTTGTAGCTTTTTTTTGTTTTTTTTTTTGTTGTCCTTTTCTCGCTTTTTTTGTTACCGATTATTATGGCTTTCTTTTTTAGCTTTTTGTTTTTGTCGATCTTTTTGTTGTTTTTTTTTCCTTGTAATTTATTATCTTTTTCTAGTGGTGATTTTTGTTCCCTTTTTTGCCTTTTTTTGTCGCCTTTCATTGCTGTTTTTTTTTTGATACGTTTTCCTTGTCACTTATATCGTCATCTTTCCCTTTGTTTTAATTATTTTTAACCCTTTATAGTCTTCTTGTTCGCGTTTTTTTTTGTCTCCTTTTTTGCCCTTTTTTATTGGTTTTTGTCGTCTCCGTTATGAATTTTTTATTTTTGGATTTTTGTTATCATTTGCTTCTGCCTTTTTTGTCCATTTTTACTTTTTTGTCGTGTTTTTTCCCTTATTCTATGATTTTTGCATTTTTGTTCGCTATTTTTCTTGTTGCGATTCTTTGTTGCTTTTTCGCCACTATTTTGACAGATTTTTGTATTCTTCGAATCCTTTTTGAATTTTTTTGTCGTGTTTTTGATTCCCTTTCTTATCGTCTTTTTTCTCACCTTTTCTCTTATTGCGTTTCTTTTTTTGTTGCGTTTTTTTCATGTTGTTTTTTTGTCGTATTTTTCATCACTTTTAGTTGTTTTGTTTTGTTTTCTTTTTTCTTCTTTTTTCGCTTTTCTTTGTTTTTTATTTTTTTTTCAATGTTAGTTTTTTTAGCCTTTTTTTGATAGCATTCTTTGTCCCATTTCTTGTTATCCTTTTTTTCTCATTTATTTTGTCGTTTTTCTTTGTTTCTTTGTTTTTTTTGTTATGTGACAGAATCTTTTGGCGCGTTTTTTGGTTTATTTTTAATCATTCATCAAAAAATAATAACATCATCACAAAATTCTCCATACGAAAGCTGTTTTCATTCTAGGAAAAACATATCTAAAATTGTTTAAACAATTTCCTAACTTTAGGTAAACATTTTAATGGAGACAAACTTATCAATTTTAATACGAACAGGTGTGTCCAGAACTTCATAAAAATTCGATAAAACATCCTTCATTAGCAGTTCTTAAAATAAATTTTGATTAGTATGAAAGCATATTATTCTGACTATTTCAAGTGAGATTTGAACAGATAAATTCTGATTAACGATTTATAACCTTAAAAAAGGTGTGAAAAATTTCAGAGCAATGTTTTTTTAACTTCCAAGAAAAATTGTATATGATTTTGTCCCCAAACAGTTGGAATCGAATTTTCTTAGCAAAATTTTAAGACGACGTCATCAAACTTTAAGTGGGGACGAACAGACTAATTCTGATATTGTTCTACTGTCAACACTGTAATCTTGAAACGGATTTAGATCCGTCCGGAGTTTCAAACAATATCTAATAACTAACACAGAGTGATCAATAACAAAACAAACTACCCAATCAAACAACACCCACCCCCTTAAAAACTAAAATCCGAATGAGTTATATCGTCCGAAAGAAACAGCCCAAGAAACATGTCGAAACAATACGATACACCGCGATAACGATTTTACAACTTCACGTGAATCAAAAGTGTTGCAAGGACTGTGCGCACGTGTTGACCTTTTTTTCTTTTGATAACTTAGCACACAATTTTTCTCGTCGTGCGTCACCCATTTTTTATTCAGGAAAGAAACAAACAAAATGCACTCGATTGATAACGCTCTATTTTCAATAAATTAACACATTTACGCAATGCAAAATATTAAATACATAAATATTTTAAATAACAATAAATATAATACTGCTGCGACCGCCATGGCGGCGCAGCCATTACTGGCACCGTGGCGCCATCCAGCGGCGACCACGTCAACTAAAAACTAGAGTGCTACAATACTACAGGTAAAACTGCGTTCAAAGCGCGTTGGTGTCTTGAGCGACATCTACACTGTCTCTTTGGCAAGCTTCCCCGATGCTAACAGTCGGTATTAAGTCTTTCTGTAGCTCCTGGAACTGGTCGAAAGGACACAAAATGTCGCATCCGGGGATTTTCAGATCGACGGGCTCGGTGGCTTCCGTGTCGTTTCGGTAGCGAAGCTGAAAACACAAAACGAACAAGGTTGTAATTACAAAAGAACTTGGTTAACCTTGCATCTAAAGAGTAATTAATTTTTTCGCCCAATTTTTGTAATTGATGCGTCACCAAATGATATAAATAAATTTATCGAATTAAGTGGACTTTAACCGATATTTTTATAACTCTATTGTTTACTAAATAAAATATAGTTATGTCGCTCTAATTGAGTTTTTACTGTTCAGTCCAATTACAGTTATCAAAAGGCCTCGACCTTGCTAGCGCGTAATTAAAACCTAATATTAGACCAATTTTTCAATTATGGTATCTGGAAAATTTACCTTGACATAAAACTGATCGTTGGCGCGGTGAATTTCAAACGAGATCGCGCTTCCATATGGGGGAATATGGGCGTCATAGACCTTCAAAGCGTCCAACATGTAGCCCAACGTGGACTCATGACCCGAATACAAGTAGATTTTCTTTCCAGAATTCTGCTCGATTTTTTTCTTCGAGTCGTCCAGAATCTTCTTCAACATGTATCCAGAGTTGATTTGTTTGACCCTCTGGTCGTAGTTATGGTAGCCATAAACCAGAGCGCCGATGCTTTGGGTGGGTTCTGGGAAAACCGTCTTGGTCCACTCTGGCATGATCAAACCCATGTCGCTCTAAAATTTTGCGTCAGATTTTCAAAACCAACATTCTTCGAAATACCTCTGTCTTAAAAATGAAGAAAATGTCTTGGAAGTCCGCCGGGTTGGTCATCGACTTTCCAGATTGTTCCTGGAGGTAGACGTACGAGTCGTTGTAGGGGGTGACATAAGTGTCTTTTATTTCCTGGATTTCGAGCTGGTGGCTGAGGACTTGGGACTTGTATGGACAACTCCCCCACGGGTGGAACAACTGCAACGACAATTTGAAAATCGTGTCACACGTTTCTGGAAACTTACGTCTTCTTCAGCGTCTGTCTTGTACGAGACTGGAATGGGCTGCCACATTAGGTCTTCGTTCCATAGCTGGATGGGACTGGGTGGGAACAACCCGGCTAGCACCAGTTGGGCACTCATTTTGGTCCTTGTGACGTCGGTGCTTCTAACATCGACAATGTCTTCGGTGTAGACGTCCCCAAGAAAGTCACCATAGACGCTCTTGAGGTAGCGGCCAAGTTTGAACTCTCCAAGTTTGCCCTCCTGTATTTTGGACCAAAAATAAAAACTTTTTTTTGAAAAAAAAAAGTCTTACGTTTGTTAAGCCGCCGAAACCAATGGGGTAGAAAGTCTCGTTTTTGTTGGGGTCGGTGGGGTAGAACGAATAAGTAGTTCGAGCTCCATGGCGAAAAATCTATAAAAAAAGGTCATAACAGTATGAACAATGTGCAATTAATATCCTTGTATGTTATATGTGTAGTGACAATTAACCGCAACCTTGAACACCTACCTACCCATTTAATCTTCCTATTATTATTTTTTTAATCATAATTATTAATAATAATAAGTGTAATAATAGTGAAAATAACGAAGGACACTTACCACGCTCACAAGGACCAGTTCCGTGTCCTCCTGGGTAGCAATAGAGGCGCTTTTGGCCCAGCACACAACACTAGCCAGTACGACAAATTTCAAAAACGGTGCCATTTTGCGATCAACTGTGGCTATGGTCTGAGCTTTATGTAATTTATAAATTTATATATCTTGCATTTCTCCCACCTTTCTTCTGAATTGGGTTTGTGTCCTTGAACCTTCATTACGTACATCCCATCTCACTGCAATCTTTGTTTTCGTCTGGAGTGTGCGTGACGTTATTTTCGTGGTCAAAAATTGACCCATTTTTGTGGCTGATAAAAGTGGCGCAAATATTTTCGAAAAAGAATTCAAAAACATGATTAGAAAAATGCGCACGTTATCGCTTATCATATCACTGCTTGGCAACATTGGCAAATTAGTATGGTATGACCAGAGATAAACAAGAGTTTTGTTTTTGTCTATTGTTGCGTGAATTGCAGATGTTGAGATTAGATTTGCAAATTATTTGGTTAATTTTGTTTCATTATATGTATATGTTGTGGTTTTAGCTGTACTATAAATTTGTGTTTATTTATTAAGGAAATTCCAGTTCAGATCTTGGCTTCTTTTATTAAATAACACACTTAGTGCGTGGGGAAATTTACTTTGATTGAATTTAAGGGAATTACTGCACTACCCGGTATAACTTATCATTACAACATAAACATAACGTTATTTTTAGATTTCTGTAAATTTACTTTATCTTAATCCGCTTCCGTATAAAAATGCAAAATTTTTATCTAAAAATAAACGAAAGTCCCTCCAGGTTTTTAAGACCTTGAGAGAAAAAAATGTCACGCTTAAGAAAAACAGCATTTATAGTGAAACAATGATGTAATTGTTAAAATTAGCTATGTCTTTAACATTAAGTTAATATTTGCAAGACATTAAAACTGTGGAAATTGAATTTGACAAATCAGCAACTCACTATATACATATACGTTATATAATTTGAAAAATCGTGAACTCCAAGATTCGAAAAATTTTTAAAATCGATAAACCGAGATGTTAAGAAATCGAAAAATGTAAAATTTAAAAAATTAAAAGTTAGAAATATCGAAGAATTTAAAATCGAGATGTCGAAACATCAAAAAATCGAAAATATGAAAAATTCAAAAATCTAAAATTTAAAAACCCAAAAATTGAGAAATCGAAACTCCTAAATTGAAAAAATCGAAAAATTGAGAAACCGAAATAGGCCAAATTCGAAAAATCGAAAAGTTAAAAATTGAAAATTGATAAATCGAGAAATCGAACAATCAAAGCATGGAAAAATTTTAAAAATGAAACATTAAAAAATCGAAAACTCGAAAAAACAAAAATTGAAAAATAAAATCTAAAACGGGGAAGTCGAAAAATCCAAAATTTTAAAAACGGATAAATTATAATATCAAAAAATTGAAAAATCTAAAAAGTAAAAAAATCTACACATTCCAAAGTCTAGAAATCAAAAATCGAAAAGTCGAAAAACCACAAACCTGTAAAGTCGAAAACTTGAAGAATTGAAGAACTGGAAAATCGAAACGTCGAAAATCAAAAAATGGGAAAATCAAAACATCCATCGATTAATTATTGAAAAATCGAAAAATTGAGAATTTAGTAACCCAAAACTGAAAAATTGAAAAATTAAAAAATTGAATAATAAATATGTAATTTGAAAAATCCAAAAACAAAAATTTCTAAAATTTGAAAAATTAAAGAAAAACTAAAATATCTGAAAAATTAGAAAATTGAAAAAATGAGAAATCAAAAAGTCAAAAAGTGAAGTCGAAAAAACAAAACCTAAAAAAATTGAAAAATTTTAAACCAAAAACCTAAAAAATTGAAAAATTGAAGAATTGAAGAAATGAAAAATCGATAAACTAAGAGTTTACAAAAGTCAAATTTGAAAAATTGCTAAAACCAAATAAAAAATCTTAAAATTGAAGAGGAGAAAAATTGGAAAAACGTAAAATTGAAACATCGAAAAATTGAGAAATTGTAAAATAAATAAACTGAAAAATCACGAAATTGAAATTTTGAAAAATTGAAAAATGAGAGAAAAACTGTAAAATTCCAAAACAGAAACATTCATAAACCAAAAAATTATAAATTTGAAAAATTTAAAAATAGGAAAATCAAAAACCTGAAAAATCGAAAAATTGGAGAATTGAAGAAGTGGAAAATCGAAACAATCGAAAGTCAAGAAATGAGAAAATCAAAACATCGATTAATTGAAAATTCGAACTATTTAAAAATCGTAAAATTGAAGAGAAATAGTGAAAATCGAGAAATTGAAAAATTGAGAAATCGTAAAATCGAAAAATTGAAAAATAAATAATCTGAGAAATCCCAAAACTAAAATTTTGAAAAATTAAAAAATGAAAGAAAAACTGAAAAAGGGAAAAAGTAAAAAAATCTACACATCCCAAGACCTAGAAGTCGAAGAATCGAAATATTGAAAAATCCCAAAACTGAAATGTTCAAAAACTGAGAATCTAAAAAATTGAAAAATTGAGAAATCTAAAACACAAAAAAGTGAAGTCGAAAACTCGAAAGCTTAAACAATAGAAACATTAAAAAACCACAAACCTGTAAAATCGAAAACTTGGAGAATTGAAGAACTGGAAAATCGAAACGTGGAAAGTCAAAAAATGGGAAAATCAAAACATCTATGGATTACTTATTGAAAAATCGATAAATTGAGAATTTAGTAACTCAAAACTAAAAAATATTTAAAAATTGTACAATTCAAGAGAACAGTTGAAAAAACGTAAACTGAAACATCGGAAAACTGAAAAATTGAAATTAAGAATAACTGAAAAATTGAGAAATTGTAAAATCAAAAAATCGAATGATAAATAATCTGAAAAATCCCAAAACAAAAATTTCGAAAATTTGAAAAATTAAAGAAAAACTAAAATATCTCGAAACTAAAACATCCAAAAACTGAAAAATTAGAAAATTGAAAAAATGAGAAATCAAAAAGTGAAAAAGTGAAGTCGAAAAATCGAAACCTAAAGAAATTGAAAAATTTTAAATCAAAAACCTACAAAATTGAAGAATTGAAGAAATGAAAAATCGATAAACTGAGAGTTTACAAAAGTCAATATGTAATAAAGAATCGTAAAATTCAAGAGGAGAAAAATTGAAAAAACGTAAAATTGAAACATCGAAAAATTGAGAAATTGTAAAATAATAAATAAACTGAAAAACCCGAAACTAAAATTTCGTAAAATTGAAAAATGGAGAAAAACTGAAACATTCCAAAACAGAAACATCCAAAAACTAAGAAATTATACTTTGAAAAATAGGAAAATCAAAAAAGTGAAGTCGAAAAATCTAAACCTTAAAAAAAGAAAAATTGAAAAATTAAAAACCTGAAAAATCGAAGAACTGGGAAATCGAAACAATCGAAAGTCAAAAAATGAGAAAATCGATTAATTGAAAAGTCGATTTTTTTTTAAATCGTAAAATTGAAGAGAAATATTGAAAATCGAGAAATTGAAAAATTGAGAAATTGTAAAATCGAAAAATTGAAAAATAAATAATCTTAGAAATCCCAAAACTAAAATTCTGAAAAATTGAAAAATGAAAGAAAAACTGAAGAAGGGAAAAAGTGAAAAATCTCAAAACTGAAATATCCAAAAACTGAGAAATTAAAAAGTTGAAAAAATGAGAAATCAAAAAGTCAAAAAGTGAAGTCGTAACATCAAAACCTAAATAGATTAAAAAATTGAAAAATCAAAAACCTGAAAAACTGAAAAATTGAAGAATTCAACAATTGGAAAATCGAAACAGTTGAAAGTCAAGAAATGGGAAAATCATCAAATCATCAAATCAAAACATTCATCGATTAATTAATGAAAAATCGAAAAATTGAGAATTTTGAAAAATAAAAAATTGAAAAACCAAAAAGTCTAAATATACAAAAATCGTACAATTGAAGAGAAAAATTAAAAAAATCTAAAACTCGAACATCGGAAAATTGAGAAATTGAAAAATTGAAAATCGAGAAATTGAAATCGAGAAATTGAAAAATTGAGAAATTGTAAAATCGAAAAGTTGAATAATAAAAAATCTGAAAAATCCCAAAACAAAAATTTCGAAAATTTGAAAAATTAAAGAAAAACTGAAAAATTTCGAAACTAAAATATCCAAAAATTGAAAAATTGAAACAATCGAAAGTCAAGAAATGAGAAAATCAAAACATCGATTAATCGAAAAATCGAAATATTTAAAATTGAAGAGAAATATTGAAAATCGAGAAATTGAAAAATTGAGAAATTGTAAAATCGAAAAATTGAAAAATAAATAATCTGAAAAATACCAAAACTAAAAATAAAATAATAAATCCAAAAGTCAAAAAGGGAAGTCGAAAAATCAAAACCTAAAAAGATTGAAAAATTGAAAAATCAAAAACCGAAAAAACTGAAAAATTGAAGAATTGTAGAAATGAAAAATGGAGTTTATAAAAGTCAAATTTGAAAAATTGCGAAAAAAACAAATATTTAAAAATCGTAAAATTGCAGAGGAGAAAAAATTGAAAAAACGTAAATTATTATCTAAAAACTGAGAAATTAAAAAATTGAAAAATTGAGAAATCGAAAAACCAAAAAATAAAGTCGAAAAATCGAAACCTTAAAAAAAAGAAAAATTGAAAAATCAAAAACCTGGAAAATCTAAAAACTGAAGAACTGGAAAATCGAAACAGTCAAAAGTCAAGAAATGGGAAAGTTAAAACATCCATCGATTAATTATTGAGAAATCGAAAAATTGAGAATTTAGAAAAATCAAAAAATGAAAAATTAAAAAATCGAAATATTTAAAAATCACAAAATTGAAGAGAAAAATTAAAAAAAAAACGGGAAATTGAGAAATTGAAAAATTGAAAATCGAGAAATTGAAAGCGAGAAATTGAAAAATTGAAAAATAAATAATCTGAAAAATGCCAAAACTAAAATTTCGGAAAATTGAAAAATGAAATAAAGACTGAAGAAAAGAGAAATTGAAAAAACTCAAAATTGAAATATCCAAAAATAGAGAAATTAAAAAATTGAAAAAACGAGAAATCAAAAAGTCAAAAAGTGAAGTCGAAAAATCATAATCTAAAAGAATTGAAAAATTGAAAAATTGAAAAATCAAAAACCTTAAAAATTGAAAAATTGAAGAATTGAAGAAATGAAAAATCGAATTTATAAAACTGAAATTTCGAGAAATTAAAATATGAAAAACAGTGAAAAACCCCACAACTGAAATATCCAAAAACTGAGAAATTAAAAAATTGAAAAATCAAAAAATGAAGTCGAAAAACCGAAAACTTAAAAAGAAGAAAAATTGAAAAATCCTGAAAAATTTTGAAATTGAAGAATTGAAGAACTGGAAAATCGAAACAGTCGAAAGTCAAGAAATGGGAAGTCAGAACATCCATCGATTAAATATTGAAAAATAGAAAAAATGAGAATTTAGAAAAATCAAGAATTGAAAAATTAAAAAATCGAAATATTTAAAAATCGCAAAATTGAAGCGAAAAATTGAAAAAACGTAAGACTGAAATATCGTAAAATTGAGAAACCGGAAAATTGAAAATCGTGAAATTGAAATCGAGAAATTGAAAAATTGAAAAATTGTAAATTCGAAAAATAAATAATCCGAAAAATGCCAAAACTAAAATTTCGAAAAATTGAAAAATGAAAGAAAAACTGAAGAAGAGAAAAATTGAAAAAATGAGAAATCAAAAAGTCAAAAAGTGAAGTCGAAAAATCAAAACCTAAAAAAATTGACCAATTGAAAAATCAAGAACCTAAGAAATTGAAAAATTGAAGAATTGAGGAAATGAAAAATCAAATTTGAAAAATTGCGAAAACCAAATATTTGAAAATCGTAAAATTAAAGAGAAGAAAAATTGGAAAAACGTAAAATTGAAACATCGGAAAATTGAGAAATCGAAAAATTGAAAATCGAGAAATTGAAAAATTGAGAAATTGTAAAATCGAAAAATCAAAAAATGAAGTCGAAAAATCGAAGAATTGAAGAACTGGAAAATCGAAACAGTCGAAAGTAAAGAAATGGGAAAGTCAAAACATCCATCGATTAATTATTGAAAAATTGATAAAATTGAGAATTTAGAAAAATCAAAAATAGAAAAATTGAAAAATCGAAATATTTAAAAATCGCAAAATTGAAGAGAAAAATTGAAAAAACGTAAAACTGAAACATCGAAAAATTGAGAAATTGAAAAATTGTAAATCGAGAAATTGTTAAAATTGCGAATGCTGAAAAATCCCAAAACAAAAATTTGGGAAACTTGAAAAAAGAAAGAAAAACTCAAAAAACTCAAAACTAAAATATCCAAAAACTGAAAAAACAAAAAATTGAAAAAATGAAGAATTGAAGAAGTCAGATTTGAAAAATTTATAAAACAAAATATTTAAAAATCGTAAAATTGAAGAGGAGAAAAATTGGAAAACGTAAAATTGAAACATCGAAAAATTCAGAAAAATTGAAAAATCAAAAACCTAGAAAATCGAAATATTGAAGAATTCAAGAACTGGAAAAAAACAGTCGAAAGTCAAGAAACAGGAAAATCAAAACATCGGTCGATTAATTATTGAAAAATCGAAAAATTGAGAATTAGGAAACATCAAAAATTGAAAAATTGAAAAATAGAAATATTTAAAAATCGTAAAATTGAAGAGAAAAAGTGAAAAAAACTGAAACATAGAAAAATCGAAAAATTGAATACTAAATCATCTTCTGAAAAATCCCAAAACTAAAATTTCGAAAATTTGAAAAATGAAAGAAAAACTGAGAAATCTCAAAACTAAAATATCCAAAAAGTGAAGTCAAAAATTCAAAACCTAAAAAAATTGAAAAATCGGAAAAATGAGGGTTTACAAAAGTCAAAATTGAAAATTTGCTGAAACAAAATATTTAAAAATCGTGAAATTGAAGAAGAGAAAAATTGGAAAGACGTAAAAGTGAAACATCGAAAAATTGAATAACAAAAAAACTAAAAAATCCCAAAACTGAAACTTCGAAAAATAGAAAATGAAAGAAAAACTGAAACATCCGAAAATTAAGAAATTAAAAAATTTTAAAACTGAGAAAACGAAAAATCAAAAAGTGAAGTCGAAAAATCGAAACCTTAAAAAAACAGAAAAAGTGAAAAATTGAAAAACGGAAAAATCGAATCAGTCGAAAGTCAAGATATGGGAAAAAAAAAATCGATTAATAAAAAAAAAATTAATAAAAATTCATGCAAAGTAAATCATAACGTTTCCAAAATAATAAAAGTAACTACACTTTTCCCAAAAAAATCTATTACATGATAACGATTCCAACAAGATTGTTAATTTGCGAAATTTTGCTAGTACCAAACATAATTAAACCATTATTTCTTAATTAAACAAAAAATAGTTGACTTGAGTGCGCTCTCGTCTGTAGATCAAACAAGCCTCAGGCGACGAAACACAATTGTTGCAAAAATAAGCATAATCAGTCTCTGGAATGTCTAGCAATCTCGAAAAATTTTCTCCCTCGATTAGAGTCTCGTTAAAAAGAAATCATACCCTAATAGAACTCTTATTAAGGTGGAACCCTAGACGAGAGGTAATTAGGTAGAATAAATATTGTGAACAAAGATCAAAATTTCCTGGCTTGGACACTAAACTAACCATTCGTCAGTGTTCAATTGAAACCCATTTTTTTTCAATAATTGTTTGTTTTTGTTAAAAATGTTAACAACACACTAGATGCATATATCATTAAACACTGCTTTTATCGTATTTCCATTATTATACCCTCCTGACAAAATTTGAATCATCATGAAAGTTACGTGACATGCTTAACCCATGTGTATTTGAAGTTGCCTACACAACCAAAAATTTAGTGTTGTGCAAGCACATTCATGGAAATGCACAAACACAAAATAATATTTGAATTAAATAATTAAAAAAATAACAATGTATGGGTAACTAGTTGCCAATTCTCGTTAGATGATTTATTTATGTAAAATTTAAACTCCTCTGGAATCACCCTTGTTTAGGGATTTTCGCTCCAAGGTTGGCACTGAAAACTGACAGTTTGGTCTTTTTAGGTTTTCGCTGTGTTAAAGTGTCAACATGAAGTAAGTAAATTCCAATTTCTTAAATAATTTCAACCATCCCAACACAAAATGGACATTTTCAAACATAAAACAACAATCCCACCGGTAATATACATAGCAAACCCTAATTAATCTTTGTTTCAGGATTGGATTGTGTGTATACAGCGGGTACAAAATTTACCCCGGCCATGGCAAAACCATGGTAAAAGCCGACGGAAAGGTAAGACAAACCCCCCAACCCCCATCCAACCAAACCCCAGCCGCCCCATTCCTCAAACAACCCCACAAACTCACCTCTCAATAACATAACCTCACTCTTTCAGACGTTCACTTTCCTCAACTCAAAATGCGAGCGTGCCCACTTAATGAAACGCAACCCCCGCAAAGTAACATGGACGGTGTTGTACAGGCGTAAGCACAAAAAGGGGCAGGAAGAGGAAGCCACCAAGAAGCGCACTCGCAGGACCCAGAAATTCCAGCGCGCCATCGTGGGGGCTTCTCTCAACGACATCATGGCCAAGCGCAACCAGCGACCAGAAGTCAGGAAAGCGCAGCGAGAGCAGGCCATCAGGTAAATCTACAGTGTGCGAGATTCAAAGTTTGTAAAATGGGGTTCCAGGGCTGCTAAAGAGCAGAAGAAGTCTACCAAGACAGCCAAGAAAGCCACGGCGCCTGCGAAACAAGTCAAACAGGTGGCGAAGCAGAAGGCTGCCAAGAACATCCAAAAAGCGGCGCCGAGGGTAGGAGGAAAACGTTAAGACCACTAATTTTATAAATAAAGACGTTATCTATAAAAGTTGTTTTATTTTGCGTAATGCATTCATAGAAAAAAAGTGGTTGGAGATTGTATGACAAACAAGGGGTTGTGTTGGGTCTAGTAGGCGCGGTAGCGTGATTGGTTTGACATTTGACATTTCAGTTTGAGGTTATGTATTTACATGCAAATAGTGACAATTTTTATCCGTTTTATACACCATGAGTGCGCTGGAGGTTGAAGAAAACGTGAATTTGCACGAGTTAGTGTCAGAAAAAATTAAATTCGGCGAGGAATTAATCGCCACGATACACAAATATAAAAATTTAGAAGGGATTCAGAAGTTGCAACGAAAGATAACACAAGAGTTGAATTTCTTGCGACAGGTATTTAGTATAGGTGTGATTATTTTGTCTGATTAGTTTTATATAGATCGTAAAGTCGGGGAAGATTAAAAAAGAACACATTCAGTGCTCAAATTTGACACATTTCTCAGCGGTGGTCAATACCTTGGGAAACATTGAAAAATGTGTCTGTGTTAATAAGGTGGTGGTTCTGGATGATAGGAAAATTGTTATTGATATCATATGTGATGGGGGGTTGACTTGGATGAAAGTAATTGCTAGGAACCCTAAGTCATTGAGTCAGATTTGCATGGGTGATGCTAGCTATGGTGTGAGAAGTGTTATAGACCATGCTGAAGACTATCTAGAGTGTGCTAAACTAAACCCGCATTTATTTCAGATCCCAAAGGTAAGAAACAACTTCAAATTTACAAAATTTTTGTTTAATTGCATGCGAGCGCAGCGAGTCGCTTCAAATTAAAACATTGTAGCTGCTTTTGTGCATTTAACTCTATTGTATTTTCGTAAATTAATAATTTTTATTGCACTCCGTTTTGTCCAGGTAGTATTTGTTTTTGTTAATGGCTTAGGATCTAATCTGGCTGCCAAAATAGAGTCACTTGGAATTAAAGTGGAAGGCGCTAGATTGATAAACGTTGACATTAGCGAAACGGAAGACTCAAACGTGGATAAATTTCGAAAAACTGAAAGAAACGACGTAAATTTATCATCGCCGAATATTTCGCACATTACTAGATTAAATTTAGACGTGTCAGCAATGCTAGCGTACGTCAGTTCAGTATGTAATGGTAGCGCAGGTCTATATGAGTTTCCAAATGGGGTTCTAGCCCAACAAGCCGAGTGGGAGCGACTGCGACCACAGAAACCCATACTAGACGATTTTTTTAAAGGTAAATCTAACCAAAGATACGAGAATCATAATTGTTTTAATGTTTTGTCAACAGGGAAAAAACTGTACTGTTGCGAAACCGCTAGAGACAGTTTTATCAGCATAGTCAACACGGTTGGAGGACCTAGTGAAAAAAAGCGCTCTGAAGAATTTTTAAACCAAGTCAAAGTTCTTCCAGACGACGCTAGCGTCGAAGATACCGAAGAAAAAAATATCGTTAGAAACGTCCAACTAACCCCTGATAAAACCCTCTCAGTCGGTGGCAAAATCAAAGAACGGTCTCTCACGATCTTCACTTTCGGGGACCGCATTGGCGCCGTCACCGTGACGTCCAACGACGGGTTCGTGCGGGCGGCCAAGCAACAGGTCTCTATCAAGATGGTGCTAAGCGGTTTGTTCTAGTTTGGTTTTCAGGGAATCGATTTCGTGGTGTTCGTGCACGAATCGCGGGCCTTGACTGAGCAAAAGGAGCAAACCAGAGGAGTCCGAAGCGAGGAAAAATAGCAGCAGATTTTTTTTACACAGCATCACAGTTGCGTGCCTTTATTTATCAACTGCCAGAGTTTATAAGTTAGTTTGTTTGAATAAAACGCTCACTTAACTGAAACTGTTTTTATTAAATGTGTAAAAGGCTGCGAAAGTGGCGCAGTCGCATCAAATCCCTTCGAACTCGGCCAGGATTGTGATGGGCTTTAGGGGTTTTCGTTGCGACGCTTTGCGGATGACGGCGCGAACTTCTTTGGGTTTTTCTAGCCGGACGAGCGGTTTTTTCTCGGGGGCTTTCATCTTCCAGACGACAATCTGACTCTGAAAACATTTTCCAATAATTAAAATTCCAAATATTTATAGTAACACATACAGCAATTGGCATAGTCCGATTATACTTGGTCGACGCGACGTACGAAGACTTCACAGTTAGCACCACCGCGTTCATCAAATTCTTGGCATTCTCAATCAAAGAAGTCGCACTTTCCACGCCCGCCAGAATCAGCTCCTCGCTTGAATTATTCTCCACGTCGGTCTTCACTTTCGCGATTATATTAATCTGGTGACAGTACAGCGCTACGCGTTCCAAGTAAGCCAACAAATCTTGTTTGGTGGAGCTTTCAGGGCACTGAGTCGCGACTTGTCGCGCCAATTTGTCTAATTTGGTCCCCGTTTCCGAAATTCTTTTAGCTGCGTTGATTACATCGGTCGTGGTTTTCAACGGACCGCGTTGCCTAGAAAATCGGGTTATTGGGGCTCACTGCGCTCGTTGTACCATGATTTAAGTATATTATAGTTGGACAACCTAATACAAATTTTACTTCGCCTAAATAGTGAGCTTTAGGACAAAGAATCCAGGGGGCGCCATCAAACATTAGCAAAGGCAAACACCCTTCATTCTGCTCTTATACGAGGAGTTATCCATAAATCCATAATTAACATTCTTCCGTAAACAGTAATGTGTATAAACATATATGTACAAAATATGAAAATATACTTGACATAAAAAATATGAAGCAATGCGTTGTAACGTGACACGAAAGGATTGTATTTAAATCAATTTGACGCCTATTTTTATTTTACTATATCTGAAGACTGACAGAAACTTTCCAAGGGTTTTTAAACTGGTATAATTGTTTAGTTTTACAAGATTCAGTAAAATTTAGATTCGTGGTGTTAAAAAATATTAACACATTTACTAGTACCTGTTGGGATAAAACTTAGTCTTATCCTAACAGGTATTAGCCCCGCCCACCTTTTGGCAAATGAGATATCTTCTAAAAAAAGAAAGGGTGGGTGGGCGGGGCTAATATCTGTCCAAGATAAGACTAATTTTAGTAAATGACGTATCCTCTAAGAAGCTTAATTAAATTTTTATAAGAAAAGACACCAGAGGCTCCAAGATTGTTTTAAGTTTTTCAAAAAAAAAGGGTCCCAAAATTAACTCAAAAACAGGTCACGTCAGAATTTTCGAAAAATAGAACACCAAAGTCCTACAAAATTATTTGAATGGGTACCCAAGAGCCTCCTGGATTAAAAAAAAACTGTGGCACTCAATATTTTTTCAAATTCATAAAAAATAAAATACTAAACGTTCAAAAGATTTTATCAAGTTCATCCAGCAACAAAAAACCAGATTCATTTAAATTTATCCGGAAATAAAACACCAGGGGACTTAAAATTAGCGCGGACATTTTAAAGATATGATTTTGAAAACTTTGACAATTGTATAAACAACTGGAAATTCTGAAAGAATAGTAAAAAATTTCCGAAAAAATGTCTTCAGAAAACTTGTTGTATATTATTATATCAGAATCAATTTTGCTATAGATCTTCGAATAATAAGTTAAAAATGGGAAAATAATTTCCAAATCCTTTTCAAAAAACTGTTAAAACTCTTCAGTTCGACGGGAAAAGAGCACAACTTTATGGAAAATTCGTCCAGAACGTCTGAAGAAAATTCAGTTCTGAGTCATCAAATAACTGACAAACTTGAAAAATTAATTTGCCAACAGAATTTTTCAAAAACTCAAGCTTTTTGAGAATTCGCCACAGATTATTATTAGTCTGAAGTCACACTATAGCTCGTCAAAATAACAAATAAATGAAAAAATAATTTCGAAAATTTTTCGAAAAAAATAATCGAAATTATGAAAAAGTTTTTTGTATAATTTCGAAAGTGGGATTCAGGGAAGATCAAAAATTTCAAACGGAGAGAGGAGTATTGACTGAGATTTTGAAAATATCTAAAAATACAAAAAAAACTGGGGAGTATAAATTTTAATATTAAAATTTTAATTGCACGATTTTTCGACTTCGCCTTATTGGTTTTTCGATTTCTCAATTTTTGGATATTTCTTTCAGTTTTGATATTTTTCAATACTTCGATTCTTTTATTTTTCGACTTCTAGATGTTTCGATTTTTTATTTTTGGATTTTCAGTTTTTCGTTTTATATACTTTCGATTTTTCAATTTTTCGATTGTCTTATATTTCAATTTCTCAATTTTTCGACTTTTCCATATTTTAATTTTTAAATTTCTAGATTTTTCGGTTTCTCGAGTTTCCAATTCTATATTTTAATTTTTCAAATTTCCGAATTTTAAATTTTTTGAGATCCCAATTTATTGAAATTCGGATGTTTCGATGTTTTGATTGTTCAATCTCTCGCTTTATCAATTTTTCCATATTTAAGTTTTCGATTTTTCAACTTCTTTTTTGGTCTTTTGATTTTTCGATTTGTTGGTTTTTCGATTTTTGCTTTTCGGTTTCTCGATTTTTCGATGTTTCGATTTTTGATTTATGCGATTTTTCAATTGTCCAATTTTTTAAATTTTCGACTTCTCAATTCGTTGAATTTTCAGTTTTTCGATTAAAATTTTGGATTTTCGAATTTTTATTTTTTTGATTTTTTGATGTTTGGATTTCTCCATTTTTCAGTTTTAGGATATTTTAACTTTTCAATGTTTTAAATTTTAGATTTTTCGATTTTTCAGTTCTTCAATATTTTTTTATTTTTCAAATTTTGACGTTTCTGAATTTTTAGTTTTCGGATTTCTCAATTAATCTATTTTTTTATATTCCCATTTCTTCACTTCCCAAAGTTTCGATTTTTCAGTTCTTCAGTTCTTCAATTTTTCGATTATTCAGGTTTTTGATTTTTCAGTTTTTCGATTTTTTAAGTTTGCGATTTTTCGACTCTGCTTTTTTGACTTTTCTGTTTCTTAATTTTTTAATTTCCTAATTTTTCGTTCAATTTTGTGATTTTTCAGTTTTTCGATTTCTCAACTTTAACTTTTCAATTTTTGAATTTTTAGTTTTTTCGATTTTTTGAGTTTTCAGTTCTATATTTCAGTTTTTCAATTTTCCAATTTTTTAATTTCTCAATTTTTTGAATATTTCTTTCAGTTATGAGATTTTCAAAATTTCAATTTTTCGACTTTTCGATTTTTGAATTGATGGATTTTTTTTGATTTCTCGATTTTTTAATTTTTGGATTTTTAATTTATTGTAAAGTTTAAATTTTTCAATTCTGCGACTGTTTTATACTTCGATTTTTCAATTTTTAACTTTCCTTTTCGGCTTCCGACTCCTCAATTTCTCGATCCTTCGATTTTTCGATTTCTCGATGTCTCAGTTTTTGAATTTTTCGATGTTTCGATTTTTGAATTTCTCGGTTTATTGATTTTTTTCTTTTGAGCTTTCCAATTTCTGGATTTTCCAATTTTTCAATGTCCCGATTTTTCAATTTTTCAATTTTTTAAATTGAATTGGATTTCTCGATTCTTCAATTTTGCGATATTTTAATTGTTCAATGTTTTAAATTTTAGATTTTTCGATTTCTCGATTTTTTGACTTTTCAGTTCTTCAGTATTTAAATTTTTCAATTTTTCAAATTTTTACGTTAAATTTTCAGTTTTCTGATTTCTCCATTAATCTATTTTTGATTTTCCCACTTCACAAAGTTTCGATTTTTCAGTTCTTCAATTCTTCGATTTTTCGACTTCGCCTTATTGGTTTTTCGATTTCCCAATTTTTGGATATTTCTTTCAGTTTTGATATTTTTCAATACTTCGATTCTTTGATTTTTCGACTTCTAGATGTTTCGATTTTTTATTTTTGGATTTTCAGTTTTTCGTTTTCTATACTTTCGATTTTTCAATTTTTCGATTGTCTTATATTTCAATTTCCCAATTTTTCAACTTTTCCATATTTTAATTTTTAAATTTCTAGATTTTTCGGTTTCTCGAGTTTCCAGTTCTATATTTTAATTTTTCAAATTTCCGAATTTTTAAATTTTTTGAGATCCCAATTTATTGAGATTCGGATGTTTCGATATTTTGATTGTTCAATCTCTCGTTTTATCAATTTTTCCATATTTAAGTTTTCGATTTTTCAACTTCTTTTTTGGTCTTTTGATTTTTCGATTTGTTGGTTTTTCGATTTTTGCTTTTCGGTTTCTCGATTTTTCGATGTTTCGATTTTTGATTTATGCGATTTTTCGATTCTCTAATTTTTTAATTTCGACTTCTCAATTCGTTGAATTTTCAGTTTTTCGATTTTTAAATTTTAGATTTTCGAATTTTTATTTTTTTGATTTTTTGATGTTTGGATTTCTCCATTTTTCAGTTTTAGGATATTTTAACTTTTCAATGTTTTAAATTTTAGATTTTTCGATTTTTCAGTTCTTCAATATTTTTTTATTTTTCAAATTTTGACGTTTCTGAATTTTTAGTTTTCGGATTTCTCAATTAATCTATTTTTTTATATTCCCATTTCTTCACTTCCCAAAGTTTCGATTTTTCAGTTCTTCAGTTCTTCAATTTTTCGATTTTCAGGTTTTCGATTTCTCAATTTTCCAATTTTTTAATTTCTCAATTTTTTGAATATTTCTTTCAGTTATGAGATTTTCAAAATTTCAATTTTTCGACTTTTCGATTTTTGAATTTCTCGGTTTATTGATTTTTTTCTTTTGAGCTTTCCAATTTCTGGATTTCCCAATTTTTTTTGATTTCTCGATTTTTTAATTTTTGGATTTTCAATTTATTGTAAAGTTTAAATTTTTCAATTCTGCGACTGTTTTATACTTCGATTTTTCAATTTTTCAATTTTTACTTTCCTTTTCGGCTTCCGACTCCTCAATTTCTCGATCCTTCGATTTTTCGATTACTCGATGTCTCAGTTTTTGAATTTTTCCATGTTTCGATTTTTGAATTTCTCGGTTTATTGATTTTTTTCTTTTGAGCTTTCCAATTTCTGGATTTTCCAATTTTTCAATGTCCCGATTTTTCAATTTTTCAATTTTTTAAATTGAATTGGATTTCTCGATTCTTCCATTTTGCGATATTTTAATTGTTCAATGTTCTAAATTTTAGATTTTTCGATTTCTCGATTTTTTGACTTCTCAGTTCTTCGGTATTTAAATTTTTCAATTTTTCAAATTTTTACGTTAAATTTTCAGTTTTCTGATTTCTCAATTAATCTATTTTTGATTTTCCCACTTCACAAAGTTTCGATTTTTCAGTTCTTCAATTCTTCGATTTTTCGACTTCGCCTTATTGGTTTTTGGATTTCTCAATTTTTGGATATTTCTTTCAGTTTTGATATTTTTCAATACTTCGATTCTTTGATTTTTCGACTTCTAGATGTTTCGATTTTTTATTTTTGGATTTTCAGTTTTTCGTTTTCTATACTTTCGATTTTTAAATTTTTCGATTGTCTTATATTTCAATTTCTCAATTTTTCAACTTTTCCATATTTTAATTTTTAAATTTCTAGATTTTTCTTATACGAGGAGTTATCCATAAATCCATAATTAACATTCTTCCGTAAACAGTAATGTGTATAAACATATATGTACAAAATATGAAAATATGCTTGACAAAAAAAATATGAAGCAATGCGTTGTAACGTGACACGAAAGGATTGTATTTAAATCAATTTGACGCCTATTTTTATTTTACTATATCTGAAGACTGACAGAAACTTTCCAAGGGTTTTTAAACTAGTATAATTGTTTAGTTTTACAAGATTTAGTAAAATTTAGATTCGTGGTGTTAAAAAATATTAACACATTTACTAGTACCTGTTAGGATAAAACTTAGTCTTATCCTAACAGGTATTAGCCCCGCCCACCTTTTGGCAAATGAGATATCTTCTAAAAAAAGAAAGGGTGGGTGGGCGGGGCTAATATTTGGTAAGAAAAGACTGATTTTGGCTAATGAGATACCCTCTAAGAAGAGAGAGGGTGGGTGGGTGGGGCTAGTACCTGTTAGGATAAGACTAATTTTAGTAAATGACGCATCCTCTAAGAAGCTTAATTAAATTTTTATAAGAAAAGACACCAGAGGCTCCAAGATTGTTTTAAGTTTTTCAAAAAAAAAGGGTCCCAAAATTAACTCAAAAACAGGTCACGTCAAAATTTTCGAAAAATAGAACACCAAAGTCCTACAAAATTATTTGAATGGGTACCCAAGAGCCTCCTGGATTAAAAAAAAAACTGTGGCACTCAATATTTTTTCAAATTCATAAAAAATAAAATACTAAACGTTCAAAAGATTTTTTCAAGTTCATCCAGCAACAAAAAACCAGATTCATTTAAATTTATCCGGAAATAAAACACCAGGGGACTTAAAATTAGCGCGGACATTTTAAAGATATGATTTTGAAAACTTTGACAATTGTATAAACAACTGGAAATTCTGAAAGAATAGTAAAAAATTTCCGAAAAAATGTCTTCAGAAAACTTGTTGTATATTATTATATCAGAATCAATTTTGCTATAGATCTTCGAATAATAAGTTAAAAATGGGAAAATAATTTCCAAATCCTTTTCAAAAAACTGTTAAAACTCTTCAGTTCGACGGGAAAAGAGCACAACTTTATGGAAAATTCGTCCAGAACGTCTGAAGAAAATTCAGTTCTGAGTCATCAAATAACTGACAAACTTGAAGAATTAATTTGCCAACAGAATTTTTCAAAAACTCAAGCTTTTTGAGAATTCGCCACAGATTATTATTAGTCTGAAGTCACACTAGAGCTCGTCAAAATAACAAATAAATGAAAAAATAATTTCGAAAATTTTTCGAAAAAAATAATCGAAATTTATGAAAAAGTTTTTTGTATAATTTCGAAAGTAGGATTCAGGGAAGATCAAAAATTTCAAACGGAGAGAGGAGTATTGACTGACATTTTGAAAATATCTAAAAATACAAAAAAAAAACTGGGGAGTATAAATTTTAATATTAAAATTTTAATTGCACGATTTTTCGACCTCGCCTTATTGGTTTTTCGATTTCTCAATTTTTGGATATTTCTTTCAGTTTTCATATTTTTCAATACTTCGATTCTTTGATTTTTCGACTTCTAGATGTTACGATTTTTTATTTTTGGATTTTCAGTTTTTCGTTTTCTATACTTTCGATTTTTCAATTTTTCGATTCTTATATTTCAATTTCTCAATGTTTTAATTTTTAAATTTCTAGATTTTTCGGTTTCTCGAGTTTCCAATTCTATATTTTAATTTTTCAAATTTCCGAATTTTTAAATTTTTTGAGATCCCAATTTATTGAGATTCGGATGTTTCGATGTTTTGATTGCTCAATCTCTCGCTTTATCAATTTTTCCATATTTAAGTTTTCGATTTTTCAACTTCTTTTTTGGTCTTTTGATTTTTCGATTTGTTGGTTTTTCGATTTTTGCTTTTCGGTTTCTCGATTTTTCGATGTTTCGATTTTTGATTTATGCGATTTTTCAATTGTCCAATTTTTTAAATTTTCGACTTCTCAATTCGTTGAATTTTCAGTTTTTCGATTTTTAAATTTTAGATTTTCGAATTTTTATTTTTTTAATTTTTTGATGTTTGGATTTCTCCATTTTTCAGTTTTAGGATATTTTAACTTTTCAATGTTTTAAATTTTAGATTTTTCGATTTTTCAGTTCTTCAAAATTTTTTTATTTTTCAAATTTTGACGTTTCTGAATTTTTAGTTTTCGGATTTCTCAGTTAATCTATTTTTTATATTCCTATTTCTTCACTTCCCAAAGTTTCGATTTTTCAGTTCTTCAGTTCTTCAATTTTTCGATTATTCAGGTTTTTGATTTTTCAATTTTTCGATTTTTTAAGTTTGCGATTTTTCGACTCTGCTTTTTTGACTTTTCTGTTTCTTAATTTTTTAATTTCATAATTTTTCGTTCAATTTTGTGATTTTTCAGTTTTTCGTTTTCTCAACTTTAACTTTTCAATTTTTGAATTTTTAGTTTTTTCGATTTTTTGAGTTTTCAGTTCTTCTATATTTCAGTTTTTCAATTTTCCAATTTTTTAATTTCTCAATTTTTTGAATATTTCTTTCAGTTATGAGATTTTCAAAATTTCAATTTTTCGACTTTTCGATTTTTGAATTGATGGATTTTTTTTGATTTCTCGATTTTTTAATTTTTGGATTTTCAATTTATTGCAAACTTTAAATTTTTCAATTCTGCGACTGTTTTATACTTCGATTTTTCAATTTTTCAATTTTTAACTTTCCTTTTCGGCTTCCGACTCCTCAATTTCTCGATCCTTCGATTTTTCGATTTCTCGATGTCTCAGTTTTTGAATTTTTCGATGTTTCGATTTTTGAATTTCTCGGTTTATTGATTTTTTTCTTTTGAGCTTTCCAATTTCTGGATTTTCTAATTTTTCAATGTCCCGATTTTTCAATTTTTCAATTTTTTAAATTGAATTGGATTTCTCGATTCTTCAATTTTGCGATATTTTAATTGTTCACTGTTTTAAATTTTAAATTTTTCGATTTCTCGATTTTTTGACTTTTCAGTTCTTCAGTATTTAAATTTTTCAATTTTTCAAATTTTTACGTTAAATTTTCAGTTTTCTGATTTCTCAATTAATCTATTTTTGATTTTCCCACTTCACAAAGTTTCGATTTTTCAGTTCTTCAATTCTTCGATTTTTCGACTTCGCCTTATTGGTTTTTCGATTTCTCAATTTTTGGATATTTCTTTCAGTTTTGATATTTTTCAATACTTCGATTCTTTGATTTTTCGACTTTTTATTTTTGGATTTTCAGTTTTTCGTTTTCTATACTTTCGATTTTTCAATTTTTCGATTGTCTTATATTTCAATTTCTCAATTTTTCAACTTTTCCATATTTTAATTTTTAAATTTCTAGATTTTTCGGTTTCTCGAGTTTCCAATTCTATATTTTAATTTTTCAAATTTCCGAATTTTTAAATTTTTTGAGATCCCAATTTATTGAGATTCGGATGTTTCGATGTTTTGATTGTTCAATCTCTCGTTTTATCAATTTTTCCATATTTAAGTTTTCGATTTTTCGATTTGGGCCTAGTTCAGTTTCTCAATTTTTCGATTTTTCGACTTCTTTTTTGGTCTTTTGATTTTTCGATTTGTTGGTTTTTCGATTTTTGCTTTTCGGTTTCTCGATTTTTCGATGTTTCGATTTTTGATTTATGCGATTTTTCAATTGTCCAATTTTTTAAATTTTCGACTTCTCAATTCGTTGAATTTTCAGTTTTTCGATTTTTAAATTTTAGTAAAATCGAGAAATCGAAACATAAAAAAATCAAAAAAATTGAAATTGGAAAACCTAAAATTTAAAAATCGAGAAATTGAACAATCGGTTAATTAAAAAATCGAAACATCGAAAAATTGGAAAATCGAAAATTTAAAAATTCCGAAAATTGAAAAACTGAAATATAGAAGAACTGAAAACTCAAAAAATCCAAAAAACTAAAAATTTAAAAATTGAAAAGTTAAAGTTGAGAAATCGAAAAACTGAAAAATCACAAAAATGAACGAAAAATTAGGAAATTAAAAAATTAAGAAACAGAAAAGTCAAAAAAGCAGAGTCGAAAAATCGCAAACTTAAAAAATCGAAAAATTGAAAAATCAAAAACCTGAATAATCGAAAAATTGAAGAACTGAAGAACTGAAAAATCGAAACTTTGGGAAGTGAAGAAATGGGAATATAAAAAAATAGATTAATTGAGAAATTCGAAAACTAAAAATTCAGAAACGTCAAAATTTGAAAAATAAAAAAATATTGAAGAACTGAAAAATCGAAAAATCTAAAATTTAAAACATTGAAAAGTTAAAATATCCTAAAACTGAAAAATGGAGAAATCCAAACATCAAAAAATCAAAAAATTAAAAATTCGAAAATCTAAAATTTAAAAATCGAAAAACTGAAAATTCAACGAATTGAGAAGAAAATATATGTTCATTATTTTCTACATGGGAAAGTGATTGTCCGTATAGGTTGTCCAACTATAATATACTTAAACAATGGTTGTACTCACCGCACGAAGTCCGTCATCTGCATCATAATCATACACATGTATTTGGCAAGAACCACAATGTCGTTACCGGAGTCGTCCCATTTAGCTACCTCTCGATCAAACGTCAGCTTCTCAGTCTGGAAATTTTCGACTTGTTCCAAGATTTTGCTCTTTTCTTTCTCGGGGAGGGCGTTCATCGCTTGCTGAAAGACAATTTTAGAGGGTTTGAATGTTAAACAGTATCACGTACTCTGGCATAAGTCAGCCCGCCCATGTCATCCGTCTCCTCTTCCGTGGTGGTGGTGACAGTTTCAATAATGTGTGTAGTAGCTAAAACAAACTGTTAATTGAGGTTTCAATACACCAATACATACTTCTAGTCTCGGTGTAGGTGTCTTCCAGTTCCACTTCTTCCGGGTCTAAGTCCTCGTCCGCCTATAGAACAGTCGTATCATATTGCAAACTAATCAATTCAATGACTTACTCTATTCATAAGGACCGCTCGTCTCACGTCTCGAACTCCATTATACACCAACCTGGACGCATCTATAAACTCGTTCTCGTCGAACTCCTGGTCCGGATTCTTCTGGATAATTTCGACAATATCCTCTGTCTTGCGTTTAAAAGTCTCCACGTCCTCGTTGAGCATCTTAATCGCTTCAAGCACCCTCTTGGTGTACATACAGGGTTCGTAGTTGTCCATTTCGGAACTCACTACCCCCATGATCCGCTTCGTCCGACCCTGAATACCCTGTGCTACCGCACTAATCATCGCCGGGTTCCTCTCTTGCAAAGCGATCACGTACTGATTTACATCGTCGTACATCTCGTTGTCAAGAACCGAAAGATAGTCATCGATGGTTGTTATATCGTCTACCGCATCCAATAACAGTTGGACTTGACTCTCCCACTCTTTCTTGAAAGTGTCCATGTTTTCTCTAGCCACCACACTCTGTGGTTGCGCTGCTAAAATCCTAGCTGCGTTGATAACCCCTGGACACAGCTCTGCCAACTGCGTAGCTGCATACCGCACCATTTTCACCCCATCCTCGTTGTTGGACATCTCGCAGACCTGATTGGCCACCTCGATCAGTTTATTGCAGTGTTCGGTAAAAATAGCTGCACAGGTTTCCACTTCTTGGACGTCGCCTTCTTCAGCGGCGCGTAGTAGAGCTTGGAACGGCGAATTGGTGTCCAGGAAGCTATCAGCTACCTTGTACGCCAGCGCTTTTCGTAGCTGCCTCTCAAGGTCTTTGGTTTTCCGCGTGACGTCGTCAACGGCTCGGTTTAACTCGTCGCCTTCTGGTCGCTTCATTGACTGACTCAGCAGGTGTTGGAGAGCTTCACGAACCGCGTCACACCCAGACACGATTTTATTCTTGCGATCGTCTTTGATGGCCTCGGAGTCGGTGATGAGCATGGCGCCGTTGATGAGCTCTTCCAGTTGCTGCTCTAGGATTTGCTTACTACGGACCTCTCGGTAGTTTAAGGAGCCGGTGTTCTCGAGGTTGTCTAGGTTGTTGGCGAGTTTGCCGCGTTCTTCGTACTTGCCGGAGCCGTTCTTGGGGGTTTTGCCTTGGGCTGCGTCGTTGATGGTGTCCACGGCTTCGCAAATTTGTTTGAGGATTTGGTCCTTGTTGGCTTTAGCTGCGGGGAGGTCGGGGTGCGACACGTACGCTTTGGAAGCCGACATTAGCATGGTGGAGCTCTTCTTCAGCATGGCTCGAGCGGCTGCCATGTCGTCGCGGATCTGGGGGTCCTTGATTTCTTGCTGGCGTCTGGCAGACTGATTTAGCAAGTTGCGACTGCACTCGTGGTAGTGCTTGAGCTCTTCAATCAGCTGGTCGGTGTTTGGGGCCGTGCGAATTTTCTCGATTGAGGCCTCGACGCCTTGGACCGTCTTCAAAAAGAGTTGGATGTCGATCATGTCGGCGAGGATAAGCAGGCGCGCCACTGAGGCCAGAAGAAGCCGGGCTGCTTTGACCATTTCCGTGCGTTTAATAGAGGCGCAAGGGTCTTGGACGAACTCGTGAGAAGCAAAAGACATCGCGTTACCTTTAACAACGACATTAATACCGTCATTTCCGTGCAAAATAGTAGACAAAAATTAGTCATGACGTACTATTTAAATTTCAACCAATGAAACGGTTTTCGTCCGGCGGGAAATTCAAATTTCGCTCGTCCGACTCAATTTGAATCCCAGCGCCACTATTTACAGTGTTCTGTGTTAAAATTCAGCCGACGCTCGACCCTTGTAATTCACTTACCTGTGGTCCGTATTTCCTCGACAACGCCCAACATCTCCTCGCTTATTTCCGGGTTTTCGCCTGCGATTTGTTCGCCCTTTTCCATGAAATTCTTTATCGCCCTCTCCACTGCGGCCACCAGAACCGCGGCTTTCTTCGACTTGCCTTTCCCTTTCTTGCTTTTATCCGAGTTCACTAGGGTCGTTACCTGGATGATTAAGGGCTGCAGCTGCAGTTCCACCGACCTCGACTTCACCTCGAAGTTCTTGGGGTCCCATTTTAGCTGGATTTGGCCCGTCATGGCGTTGTTCTCAGGACAAATCATATACTGATTGGGGAATGAGTTCACCTCGTCTTATCGGAGCGTTATCACTTGGCAAACAATTTCATACTAATGATGAGTAATAGATAAAACCCGAACACGCCCTAAGCTATTCCAACAACTCAAAATATTGTTGTACCTGGAGCTTTATGTGCACGTTCGGGGCGGAATTGCACCGCGTGACTCATCGCAACACGTGTTGTTATGAAACGTAGAGGTTAGGGAAGATAAAACAAAAACACCAGGATTGAGAATTGCTTTATTTATTTATTTTTTTGTAATAACAAGACTGGTTTTTCGTTATCAGTTCAATGAATTTAGTTCGTAAAAATTACAATTTTACTAATACCCTTCATCCGACCACGTGATTTTGTAGTCGCCATATTTTTGCTTGAGAATTTCCACGGTGACCTGGTGATCCGCGGGCCCGAAGCCCGTCGAGTACCCGTAGACTTTTAATTCTTTGGATTTCGAATCGTGATTGATGCGTCCCCCTCCCAAGACTTTGGTGCGCCAGTCCCTAATCGTGTTGGACGACTTCAAGGCTTGCAGCTCCTCGGTGACTTTGTCGTTGATGTCGGCGTGGTACGGGCATGAGGCGTAGCCTCTGACGATGTTTTTATCCTGAATTTTTCCCTCGGTGTTGGGGGATGTTAGTTTGATCAAGATGTATTTAAAGACGCCGTCGGGGTCGATGTCGACGTCGGGGACTTGGGGGATGACGGATGCCATTTTGCACAGCTGACTGTTCCTGAAAGGGACAACGTATTGATTTATGAGTGTTACGTGGGGACAAAAATAAAATGTTGGTAATTTGAAATATGTCATTTTATCTGTTTATCATATCCGCCAAAAGATTAATGACATCACCACTTTTTCTATTTTTGACATATAGTGTCTCAAAAAAACAAAAGTAGAAATCGATCTATGTCAGATAAACAGTAATTTCTGTACACAATTAACAGACAAACAAAAATGACAAGCAGAGACAGAAAGAGGAAGTGAGATACAGAACGATGGCTAGAAAGAGAAGGAAACACTGATATGCCAAAGTGACATATGATAATAATATAAACATGAAACTAAGAAAAACGGATATGGTAATCTAGAGATAGTGATGGGGAAAAGAGAATAACAGCACAGACAGAAAAATAGGGAGAAGGGGGAGAAAGAAATGGAGAAAAGGAGAAGAGAGACGGTAAGAGTAAGAGGAGTTGAAAAAGCGACGGCGAAGAGAGAGTTAGGGGGACAAAAAAAGAGAGGAGCAGAAAAAGAAAAACTGAGAGTGAGGGAGAGAAAAGAAACACAGAAGAGAAGATAGAGAGAGAGAGAGAGAGCGAGAGGAACAAAAAAGGAAAAAGTGAGGAGAAAATGAGTGATAGCGGGAACTAAACATGAGACGAAGACAGGAGACAACAAGACAGAACTGAGAGAAAAAGAAAGAAGAGGAAGAGACTATGTGTGGGCGGAGAGAGAACAAGAGAGAGAAGGGAAGAAGAATGAGAGAAAGAGAGGGAGAAGACAAAAAACAGAAACATGGAGAAAAAGGGAAACAAAAGATGAAGAGAGGGAGATAAAAAGAGATAGGCAGAGGCCGAGAAAAAAAGATGAACAGAGGAGGAGAAAATATAATAGCGGGAGAGAGAATAAGACACAGAGGGAAAAGAACGGGAAGATGGAGAAAAAGATGTGATAAAAAAGCTATAAGAGAGAGAGTGATAAATGGGAGAATGAGAGAGTGATAAATAGGAAAATGAGACAGTGATAAATGGGAGAATGAGAGAGAGTGATAAACGGGAGAATGAGAGAGAGTGATAAATGGGAGAATGAGAATGATAAATTTGAGAATGAGCGACTCCTGTTTATCATTCTCTCTCATTCTCCCATTTATCACTCTCTCTCATTCTCTTGTTTATCATTATCTCTCTCATTCTTCAATTTATCGCTTTTTCTCTCATTCTCCCATTTACCACTCTCTCTCTCATTCTCATACAATCGCAGAGGACCAATTTAAAAAAATTCGAAAAATTAAGGGAGGTAGAGAAATTTGCTTTTTTCTCGGTTATTTGAAGCAGTACAACAAAAACGAGCACGGAATCGTAATCCTGGGGAAATTGCGCGTAAAATGACAGCCAACACGGTCGAAAAGGACCAATTTTGAAAAATTAGAAAAATAAAGGTGGGCAGACAAATTTGCATTTTTCTCGCTTATTTGGAGAGGTACATCTAAAACGAGCACGGAATCGTAATCCTGAGGAAATTCCGCGTGAAATGACACCCAACACGGTCGATAAGGACCAATTCTGAAAAATTCAAAAAATAAAGGGGGGCAGACAAATTTGCATTTTTCTCGCTTATTTGGAGAGGTACATCAAAAACAAGTACGAAATCGTAATCCTGAGGAAATTCCGCGTGAAATGACGCCCAACACGGTCGATAAGGACCAATTTTCAAAAATTCAAAAAATAAAGGGGGGCAGACAAATTTGCATTTTTCTCACTTATTTGGAGCGAGGTTCATCAAAAACAAGTACGTAATCGTAATCGTGAGGAAATGACGCGTGAAATGACACCCAACACGGTCGAAAAGGACCAATTTTGAAAAATTCAAAAAATAAAGGGGTGAAGACAAATTTGTATTTTTCTCGCTTATTTGGAGAGGTACATCAAAAACAAGTACGGAATCGTAATCCCGAGGAAATTCCGTGTGAAATGACATCCAACACGGTCGATAAGGACCAATTTTGAAAAATTCAAAAAATAAAGGGGGGCAGACAAATTTGCATTTTTCTCCCTTATTTGAAGAAGTACAACAAAAACAAGTACGGAATCGTAATCCTGAGGAAATTCCGCGTGAAATGACACCCAACACGGTCGAAAAGGACCAATTTTGAAAAATTCAAAAAATAAAGGGGGGCAGACAAATTTGCATTTTTCTCGCTTATTTGGAGTTAGATCAAAAACAAGTACGGAATCGTAATCCTGAGGAAATTCCGCGTGAAATGACACCCAACACGGTCGAAAAGGACCAATTTTGAAAAATTCGAAAAATAAAGGGGGGCAGACAAATTTGCATTTTTCTCGCTTATTTGGAGAGGTACATCAAAAACGAATACGGAATCGAAATCCTGAGGAAAATCCACGTAAAATAACACCCAACACGGTCGAAAAGGACCAATTTTGAAAAATTCGAAAAATAAAGGGGGCAGACAAATTTGCATTTTTCTCGATTATTTGAATAGGTACATCAAAAACGAATACGGAATCGTAATCCTGAGGAAATTCCGCGTGAAATGACACCCAACACGGTCGAAAAGGACCAATTTTGAAAAATTAGAAAAATAAAGGGGGGGGCGACAAATTTTCATTTTTCTCGCTTATTTGTAGAAGGATATCAAAAACGAGTACGGAATCGTAATCGTGAGGAAATTCCGCGTGAAATGACAACCCACACGCTCGATTCGGACCAATTTTGAAAAATTCAAAAAATAAAGGGGGGCAGACAAATTTGCATTTTTCTCGCTTATTTCTAGAGATACATAGAAAATGAGTACGAAATCGTAATCCTGAGGCAATTCCGCGTGAAATGACACCCAACACGGTCGAAAAGGACCAATTTTGAAAAATTAGAAAAATAAAGGGGGGGCCGACAAATTTTCTTTTTTCTCGCTTATTTGTAGAAGGATATCAAAAACGAGTACGGAATCGTAATCGTGAGGAAATTCCGCGTGAAATGACAACCCACACGGTCGATTCGGACCAATTTTGAAAAATTAAAAAAACAAAGGGGGCCAGACAAATTTGAATTTTTCTCGCTTATTTCTAGAGATACATCAAAAACGAGTACTGAATCGTAATCTTAAAGCAATTCCGCGTGAAACGACACCCCACACGGTAGATAAGGACCAATTTTGAAAAATTCAAAAAATAGGGGGGGGGCAGACAAATTTGCATTTTTCTCGCTTATTTCTAGAGATACATAGAAAACGAGTACGAAATCGTAATCCTGAGGCAATTCCGCGTGAAATGACACCCAACACGGTCGAAAAGGACCAATTTTGAAAAATTCAAAAAACAAAGGGGGGCAGACAAATTTGAATTTTTCTCCCTTATTTGAAGAAGTACAACAAAAACGAGCACGGAATCGTAATCCTGAGGAAATTCCGCGTGAAATGACACCCCACACGGTCGATAAGGACCAATTTTGGTCTCTCTCATTCTCCCATTTATCACTCTCTCTCATTCTCTCATTTATCACTCTCTCTCATTCTCCCGTTTATCACTCTCTCTCTCTCTCTCTCTCTCATTCTCCCCTTTATCACTCTCTCTCATTCTCCCATTTATCACTGTCTCTCATTTTCCCCTTTATCACTTTCTCTCATTCTCCTATTTATGACTCTCTCTCATTCTCTCATTTATCACTCTCTCTCATTCTTCCGTTTATCACACTCTCATTCTCCCATCTATCACTCTCTCTCATTCTCCCATTTATCACTGTCTCTCATTTTCCCCTTTATCACTTTCTCTCATTCTCACTCATTCTCCCGTTTATCACTCTCTCTCTCATTCTCCCCTTTATCACTTTCTCTCATTCTCCTGTTTATTACTCTCTCTCATTCTCCCATTTATCACTCTCTCTCATTCTCCTGTTTATCACTCTCTCTCATTCTCTCATTTATTACTCTCTCTCATTCTCCCGTTTATCACTCTCTCTCTCTCTCATTCTCCCCTTTATCACTCTCTCTCATTCTCCCATTTATCACTCTCTCTCATTCTCCCGTTTATTATTCTCTCACATTCTCCCGTTTATCACACTCTCATTCTCCCATCTATCACTCTCTCTCATTCTCCCATTTATCACTCTCTCTCATTCTCCCATTTATCACTCTCTCTCTCTCATTTCTTATTAAGGTGGAAAAAGAAAAATAGAGAGAGAGGTAAAAAAAGGAGTGAGGAGAAAATGAGTACCAACAGGAAACTAAATGAGAAAGAGACAGGGGGGGGGGTAGAAAAAGATAGAACTGGCGGAAAAAGAAAGAATGGAACTGCAAAGCTCTCTTTGGTGTTCCATTCTTTTTCCGTCAAAAAAAAACAAAAAGGACGAGGAAGAGAGAATGTGTGGTGGGGGGGAACAACAAGAGATAAAAGGGGAGAAGAAAAAGAGGGGGAAAAACAGAAAAGTGAAGAAAAAATTGGCGAGTGTGAGAGAAAGGGAGGTACAAAGAGGGCGATATAAGAGGTGGAGTGAGGAGGGGGGAGAAAAAATAGCAAAGGTCAGAGCAAAAGAAAGGGGAAGGAAAAGAGAAACGCGGAAAAGAGAGTTGGGGGAGAGGGAACAAGAGAGAGGGGAGAATTCGGAAACAGGGGGAAGATTGAGAAAAAGATGGCAAGGGGGAAAACAGAGGTCTTAAAGACAAGGGGAAAAAAGAGAAAACGGGAGAAAAAGAGGGACGATAACAGTAAATGAGACAAGAAAAACAGAAGGGAAGAAAAAGGAACAGACGAGATAAAGACAGCGAGGGGGAGAAAAGATAGAGAGAAAGAGAGAGAAGGGGGGGTTGAGAAAGAGAGAGAGAGAGAGAGGAGAAAAAAACGATAGAGAGGGGAGAAAATGAAACAGAGAGAAGATGGAGGAAAAGTGAGAATGGAAAGAAACGGATAGAAGTTGTAGAAGAATAGTGACAGGGGGAGAAAAAGAGAGGCGGGAGAGAGAAAAGGGGGAGGAAGAAGAGAAGAGGAAAAAAGGAGCGCACGTGAGAAAAGAAGAGAGAGAGGGACGAAAACGAGAAATACAGAAGGGGCAACGAATGGGAAAGGGAGGATGGGGGATAAAAGAGAGAGAAGGAAAAGAAAAATTGAATAAGAAAAAGTATCTCTCCTGTTTTTATTTGTTGGAAACTAGTGGACTGATGGGTCGAAAATTTTTATGTATGGAATATCGTGTAGATGACAAAACGTTGACGAAAATTCGTGTCGTCGTCTCCCATCAAAAATTTGATGACGTCAGTTCAAAATTTTGCCAAGTAAATCCTGTTTAGATTCTGCAAAGTAACATCTTTCTGCTGTATTTGTAATTTATTAATCCATTATTCCTAGTTTTAACTTTATGTATGAATGTTTCTGGAAAAAATACAATATAGAGAGAAGGAGAAAAAGAAGGGGGTGAAAGAGAGAAATAGGAACAAAACAATGAAGAATGAGATAAACAAAAAGAATAGGAGAAGAAAAACAGGTAAGGGGAGAACGAAGAGCGTGAAAATTGGAAAAAATAGAAAATAGGCAAACAAAGAGCATGGAGTAGGGTGGGAAGGCAGAAAATACCGAAATAAGAAAGTTAGAAAGCTGTAGAAAAAAAAGAGTAGTGGAACAAGGGGAAACAGAGATACAAAATTAGGGCGCCAAAAATTAAAATCAATGTAATTAACACACAAAAAAAATTAGTTGTACAGAAAAAATATGTTGCTTGCCAAAAGTGAACCTAGGAAAATAGGAAAATACCGCGAAAACATCAATGTAAACAAACCGTACGGAAATAACCTTTGGCTCAATTTCGCTAACTGCATTTGGGAAAATTTAGGTTACGTTACGTAACTTTATTGACGCTTTTATGAAAAAGAAAACAAACCCATTGTTTATTAAACAAACACGAAATCACTTCAATAAAGCTACAAATAATTGTAATATCACTCACCACCGGCTACAATTCAGTAACCTCGAAATCAGCAGATTTGACAGCATACCACGAATGACATTTGACAGCTTCACCGGTAATAAAATTGGGGATTTTGGCGAACTGATTGGTATGACAACTATTAGCAATAAAAAATCTTGAAATAGCAACAAATGTAACAACATCGACTAATACAAGTTACAGTTGCATCTGTAAACGTGGCGTTGTACTTTTTGTCCCCAACAAGTTGGAAATTCCTTCAAACGTTGATTAGCCTCGTCCCAGTTGAAAAGTAGGGATTTTCGCAGCGCGCCACACGTTTGCGTCACTGGTTGTCAACTCCGTCGTTTTTTCAGTCAGTTTGTGGATTGTTGTGTGAGGTGTTGTGTGCGTGTACAATGATGGCTGCTACGTTAACCCCAGAACAAGAAGAAGTAAGTTAAATTTAGACTTTTCTTGTTTTTTTCCTCGACTGTTTACACGGAAGAGGGTTTAAAAATAATATGCTTTCGATTTTTCGGCTGTTGCGTTGTTGAGAGCGCCCGTGATGACCGAAACACGGGTTTTAGGTAGGTGTTCTTGGTTAAATTACGGAATTGTGTATTTTATATTTCCTTCCCACGCAAATTGCACACATTAGTCATTGTTTCTATGCTTTATTGCCCAAGTTTTTACCAAATATATCGAGATTGTGTGGTTGCGATAAATTATCGACTACCTGTGGAGTAGATTGTTGTTATTGTGTTTTTTGTGTACTTGGGGTTGCGTGCTGAGGTCGGAAGTGAAATTTTTGGGGGTTTGGCACGCTCAGAGCGTGCGGTTTTTCATTAATTTTGATTTTACGTAAATTTCGACTATCGGGATTTTTTTATCAGGTTGAACTTATGCAACTGATTCACACGGAAGTGGCTTAATTGTGATCACTATTGTGCTGTAAACAGTAAAAATAAACAGGATTCTTATCACCTGTCAGATATTTGGGAGATTTGCGCCTTCCTTGTTTAGATAAGGCGTTTTGTTCGATTTTTAGTATCTTGCCTCCATGTTTTCCCTTCCCACTCGATTCTCGTTTTTGGTTTTAATGAGCACTTGATGCTGTGTTCTTTTTTTGACGGGCTTTAACGAACATTTTTTACACGGTTTTGCGCTTATTACCGTGATTAAAACTAAATATGTACCTTTGAGTGTGGCTGTGTCTGTGGGAGCAAAAATCGTTAAAAGGGAAAGTACACAGCGTTAGACCTACATCTACCAATGGAATCGGTTTAACTATTTATTAGACTCAGAAAATTCTGGATGAAGGAAATTGTTTTTTGTTTTGTTTATTTATAATCTCATTAAACTTTACATGTTAAAAAAGGTTTTAGTTTATAATATATAATCATTCAGCAATTATAAAAAAAGTCACTTTAATTTTTTTTGTGTTTTACTTCCCAAAACAAAAAAATATATATGTTATGCATTTTTTTTGAACTGGTATTTTTTAATTTCTAAAGATTCAAACTTTTCGGGTTAATTAGATTTTGTACCTCGCATCACTGGTTTCAATACCGTTTTTGACGGCCTGAAACCAAAAATTGCCGGACTAGTCCGGTAAAAAACCTAGGAATTTATTTATGATTATTGATATCTGTTGGTATTATCGCTTGGTATTATGTTACTGACAAATAGGTTATCTGTGCATGTTACTGCAATAAATAGATATCTCGATTTTTATTTTGCAATTTAAATTTATTCAATTGATGTCAACCTGAACCTTTCAATGATTCAGTTTGTTGTTTATTCCATTTTTAAATTTTCTATTTTTCAAATTTAGTTCCTTCAATTATTCAATTCTCCATTTTTCTATTAATTTGGTTGACGATTTTTGGTTTTCCGGATTTCGGAGTTCTTTATTTGTTCAATTTGTCAGATATTTCAATTTATTAATTTTTCAGTGGTTCCAATTTTTGATGTTTTTATTTCATTTGGGAATAATTTGTCGGTTTTCATTTTGCTTTTTTCGAGTTTTTAGTTATTCGAATTTTTATTTTTTGAATTTTTCAAATTTTTTGTTGCTTCAATTTTTTTACTGTACAATTTTTCGTTTTCTCTTTTCTTCTATTTTTCAGCTCCCCTTATTTAATTTTATTATGTTTCAATTTTCGTTTCTTCAATTTTTCCATTTTCCTTTAATGTGTTTGACGATTTTATTTTAGTAGGTATTTTTGGTTTTTCAATTTTAGATTTGCAATTTTTCGAGTACATATTTGATTTAAAATTCTTCAATTGATCGATTTCAACTTCTGAATTTTTTATCATCCGAATTTTCTGACTTTTTCATTTTTCACTTTTTTAATTTTTCGATTTTACAATGTTTTCTGTGTTTCGAAGTTGTCAGTTTTTCGATATTTCCTATTTTTCATATTTTCCTTTTTATCGAATATTTTTCAATTTTTCTGTTTTACATTTTTCCGCTTTTTCGATTCTTCTATTTTTTTAATTTTTTGATTTTTTAAATTTCGTTTTTTCATTTTTCCAGTTTCTGTTTAGTGTTTGACGATTTTGTTTTTGCTATTTTTGAATCTTGCAATTTTTCGAGTTTTCAGTTCTTCAGTTGGTCGATTTCAACTTTTGAATTTTTCGATGACCCGAGTTTTCTATTTTTTGACTTCTCAGTTTGTTGTTTTTTTGATTTTTCATTTTTTAACATTTCGTTTTTACAATTATTTCGTTTTCTCAGTGTTTCGAGTTTTCAGTTTCTCGATTTTTAATTTTCCAATTTTTGTATTTTTCGTTACTTCAGTTTTTCGATTTTTCAATTTTTCGATTTTTCCTATTTTCATATTTTCCTTTTTAACGAATAATTTATTTGTCGGTTTTCATTTTGTTATTTTTCGAGTTTTCATTTGTAAATGTTTCAGGTGATTCAACTTGATTTTCCGTTATTCAATCTTTGAATTTTTCGTTTGTACAATTTTTTATTTTTCTATTTTTCAATTTTTCTGTTTAACAATTTTCCGTTTTTTCATTTCAATTTTTTTAATTTTTTGATTTTTTAAATTTCGCTTCTTTAATTTTTCAATTTTCCATTTTCTTACTAATGTGTTTGACGATTTTGTTTTGCTACTTTTGAATCTTACAATTTTTCCAATTTTCAGGTTAAAATTCTTCAGCTGATCGATTTCAACTTTTGAATTTTTCTACTTTTTGACTCGTCAATTTTTTTTTTTTAATAATCAATTTTTGTTATTTTTCGATTTTACAATTTTTGTTTCGAGGTTTCAGTTTCTCGATTTTTAATTTTCCGATTTATCTATTTTTTGTTTCTTCAATTTTTAATTTTTCAATTTTTCAAATTTTTTGTTCCTTCGTTTTTCAGTTGCCTCTATTTACTTTTTTGATTTTTCAATTTTCGTTTCTACAAGTTTTCGGTTTTGTTTGACGATTTCATTTTGCTATTTTTGGATTTTACGATTTTAGATTTCCATTTTTTCAAGTTTTCAATTTAACATTCAAGTGATCGAAAAATTCAGTAGTTAATTTTTCGATCATCCGAGTTTTTTGTTTTTCGACTTGTGTGTTAGTTTTTCATCTTCAATTTTTCATTTTTTTAACCTTTTGATTTTGAAAATTTTTCGTTTTTTCGGTGTTTCGTGTTTTCAGCTTTTCAATTTTCCGATTTTATCAATTTTTCGATAACCTTTCGAATCAAAAACATGGAAAAATGCAAAATTGTAATATTGAATAATCAAAAATGATAAAAACAGGAAGGTATAAAATCAATGAAAACTTTGAAAATCTAATGAAAATTAGAAATCAAGAATTTGGAAAAATCGAAAAATTGAGAAACTTAAAAATCGAAATATTGTAAAATCGAAAAAAGCAAATATGATTAAATCAAAATGTTGAAAATTAAAGAAATCGGAAAATCGGATAATTGAGAAATCTAAAAATTGGAAAATTGAAAAATTGAAAAATTGAAAAATTCGAAAATTGGGGAATTGAAAAATGAGTGATTGAAATTTGAAGAATTGAATAAACGAAAAATGATAAAATCGAAAGAAACATTGAAAAAATAAAGAAAATGGAAAATGGAAAAATTCTGATACTAGATTGAAGACATGAAAGTGAAAAATTTTCGATTTTTCCTATTTTTGATATTTTCCGATTTTTCGAATCGACAAACAAATGATTTTCATTTTGCTATTTTCGATTTTTCAATTATTTGGCTTACAATTTTTTGAGATTTCAAATTAAAATTTTCAGTTGATTCAACTTTATTGTCAATTGTTCAATTTTTCATTTCTTCAATTTTTAATATTTCCTTTTATCGATTTTTTGTTCCCCCAGTTTTTCTATTCCACAATTTTTTAAATGGAAAAATTCAAAATTGTAACATTGAAAAATCGAAAAATTAAAAAAACGGAAAGGTATAAAATGAATGAAAACTTTGAAAAATCTAAAAATTAGAAACCAAGAATTTGAAAAATTGAAGAAACGAAAAATTGAAAAATCGAAAGATTAAAAATTGAGAAACTTAAAAATTGAAATGTTGCAAAATCGAAAAAAAGAAATACGTATTGTAAAATGGAAACGGTGAAAATTAAAGAAATTGGAAAATCGGATAATTGCGAAATCCAAAAAATTGCAAAATTGAAAAATTCGAAAATAGAGGAATTGGAAAATGAAAGATTGAAAATTTGAAGAATTGTATAAACGAAAAATGATAAAATCGAAAGAAAAGTTGAAAAGCAAAGACAATGAAAAATGGAAAAATTGTGATATTAAATCGAGAAAATGAAATTAAAAAGTCGGGAAAATGAAAAACAAAAACCCAGAGCTTCGAAAATTAGAACGAAAAATTTAGTTTTGAAAAATTGCCAATCCGAAAAATTGAAGAAACGAAAAATTGAAAATTTCGGAAGTCAAGAAATCGAAAAATTGATAACATGAAAGTGCAAACAAAATTTTTCAATTTTTTATATTTTCTGATTTATTTGTTTGTTGATTTTCATTTTGTTAGTTTCCGATTTTTCAGTTACTCGAATTACAGATTATTGAGTTTTCAATTGTATTCGACTTGATTTTCCATTATTAAATCTTTTAATTTTCCTGTTTTACAATTTTCCGTTTTTCCGATTCTTCTATTTTATAATTTTTTTGAATTTTCAATTTTCGTTTCTTTAATTCTTCTTTAATGTGTCTGACGATTTTATTTTGCTATTTTTGGATTTTACAATTTTAGATTTGCAATTTTTCGAGTTTTCAATTTAAAATTCTTCATTCAAATCAATTAAAACTTTTGAATTTTTCGATTATCCGAGTTTTCTTTCTATTTTTCGACTTGCTAGTTTTTTGATTTTTTAATTTTTCATTTCTTTGACCTTTCGATTTTACAATTTTTTCATTTTTCTCAGTGTTTCGAATTTCAGTTTCTCAGTTTTTAATTTGC